TTTTTATATTGGAAATGAGATATGACTCAAGATTCTGTGTGTGTGTGGTTATCTAGTTGATTTAGCACCATTTGTTTTATTTTTTATCTTTTTTAAAGATTTTATTTGACAGAGAGAGACACAGCAAGAGAGGGAACACCAGCAGGGGGAGTGGGAGAGGAAGAAGCAGGCTTCCTGCCAAGCAGTGAGCCCGATGTGGGGCTCAATCCCAGGACCCTGGGACCATGACCTGAGCCGAAGGCAGACGCTTAATGACTGAGCCACCCAGGCGCCCTGGCTAAATTTGTTTTTTAAAATTTTATTTATTTGAGAGAGAGAGTGCAGGAGTGGAGGGAGGGGCAGAAGAGGAGGGAGAAGCAGACTCCCCACTGAGCAGGGTGCCCCACTTGGGGCTCAATCCCCGGATCCCAGGATCATGACCTGAGCTGAAGGCAGATGCTTAACCAACTGAGTCACCCAGGCACCCACAGTTTGGCTAATTTTGGTTGGTCAAATGAACTGATTCCTAAATTACTCCAAAACAAGGCATTCTGTTTTGGGGATGCTAACCTTTTCCTGAACACGTCCTTTGTAGATTCTCCAAGTCCCAGATCTGTGTTCTGTACATGAAATCTCTTGTATTTTGTATGCTTGATAGATCGATTTAGAATGGAAATCTAAATAGTAGAATCTATAGATTCTACTAATCAAGGCTAGTGTGAAGTCCTGTCCCAAGTGTAAGATTCAAAATACTTATATTCAAACTTATATTGAAAACTTAATTAAAATTTAATAGTTAAAACATTTACTATTCATTATATTAATTAACCCTAGGTTGATTTTGTACTTACTTCATAAAGAATATTCACATTTTACTTAAATGAACACCTTTTCTTTTTCATTTAGGTTGTCAGTGTGTTAGCTAAACCTGCATAGATTGGCAAGCACCAGGCTATGCTCGAAGTAGAAGGATAGGTGGTGTAACTAGAAAATACTTATGGAGAAGACCTGAATCTGTGAAAAGGAAGAATGCAATCTTGTAGATTGATGCTAATATGGAAAATCTGGGGCAAAAATTCATAGGAAACAAAGTGAAAATCTGATTGGGAGGAAGAAACCCTCACAGGCAAGCCAGCTTGACTAGAACGGGAGATATAACCCATGTGCCTCAATCCAGGAAGATTAGGCAGATTGATACCACCAAGGAATTAACTCAGTTCTCCATGGACACTGATTGAGTGTCCCCAAAATTTAACTCAATTCTTACACTATCAGGTTAAGGGCTCAGTCCCACAATACTGCTTCCTCTTTAGATGCCAATCTCAAGTCCCAAGTTGTTACCTGTGCTTCTGTTTGGCTGTAAATTAGAGGTTCCCACAATCCCCTCCCTAGTTTGATTAATTTGCTAGAGTGGCTCACAGAACTCAGGAAACTGGTTTTACTTACTAGATAATTGGTTTATTATAAAGGATATGAATGAATAGCCAGGTGAAATGATACATAGGGCAAGATTCTGAAAGCAGGAGCTTTTTTCCTGTGGAGTGTGGACTTAGCACATGGATGCTTTCTGGGTCACCAACATGGAAGCTCTCAGAAACCCATTCTTTTGGGGTTTTATGGAGGCTTCATTACACAGACATGGTAAACTCACTAGCCTAGCCGTTGGTGACTGATTCAACTTCCAGCCCCTCTCCCCTCCCTGGAGGCCAGGGGGTGGGACTGAAAGTTTTAACCTTTAATCAAGGTTGGTTCTCCTGGAAAGCAGCCCCCACATCTTTAGAGGGGTTCTAAAAATCACCTCATTAACATAAACTCAGTTGCAGTTGAAAGGGCCTTCTTTTGAATAACAAGACATCCATTTCACCTTTATGAGTCTAAAGTGATTTCTGGAACTGAGGACAAATGTCCAAATGTAACAAAAGATGCCCAGGAGATTGATATTTGCATATATCAAGTGTTTAAATTAGTTCAATAAGATTTTAGTTGTCAGATTGAAGGGTCTGTTTAAATAAAACTCCTCTATAGGGAAAAAAATGGTAGGTGGTTTTAAAAAAATCTGTAATTTAGTTAGAACAGGTGCATGCTTTGCTCAGAAAAACCGAATTTGGAAAATCATTCCACAAAAGACAGAATAGAAAAGAACTTTCTTTTCAAGGATAGAAGTGGGTTGTTAAATTAATAGCTTAGCTTATTGTTTGATTTTGTCCTTTCATGTTTAGATGAAATGTTCTCACTTAGTAAACTTTAGGGAAAAAAATTTTTTTTAAACTTTAGAAAATTTTTTAAACTTTTTATTTGAAACTAATTTTAGACTTAGAGGAAAGTTAAAAAACTATGTAGAGAAACCATCACCCAGCTTCCCTTACTGTTAACATCTTACATAACCATAATAATTATCAAATTAATATCAATACAATACTGTTAACTCCAGTTTAGGAGACTTGTTTTCATCATTGTCCCTTTCCTAGGAACCTGTTTGCATTTAATTATTTCTTCTTATTCTCCACCATTCTGTTTCTCAGTCTTGTCTTCTCTTGACACTTTGGAAGAGTACCAATCAGTTATTTTGTAGAATGTCCTCAGTTTGGGTTTATGTTGTTTTCTCATGATTAGAATGAGGTTATGCCTTTTTGGCAAGAATACCGCAGAAATTATCTTGTGTCTTTCCTTATGCATCATATCAGTGGGTTCATGTTGCCGATATATCTTATTATTAGTGGTGAGCTTTAGAAATCTTGCTGATAATAATATATATAATA